GAATTACCAAGAATCGACACCAACGCGCCACAACAACGATTCAGTCAAAAGAGAAACTGAACTAAAAACTCACCTCAATCTGACCAAAGTTTGTTCTTTAACACTCATTAAATTCCCTGTGCTGACACAGTTTAACGAGCTTCCGCCTCTTGGTATTTTTTGTTGCAGGATGCACTTCACTCTCACGTTGGGCAGATGCGTTTGTTAACATTTTTGCAACTGCACGCCAGGTGTGAGGGAGGGGGGGATGCTGCAATCAGGGTCTCTGCGGGCTGCAAAGCAGGAGCGACAGACAGGTGGTATGATCGACTCTGAAAGGCGATCAGACTTTGTAGATCATAATTTTTTTCTTGGAGATTGGCAGTAGATTCTTCTGGTTGGCGGATTGGGAATCTAAACTAGGAATTAAAATTTTAAAGTTTGATAGATCCCAGGAAAAACTGACAGTCCTGGTTCTAATCAATGCTCAATGCCCAACCCTACCAATAGGACTCTATGATTAACACAATGTCAATACTAGGGATGTAAGAAAATACCATTATGGCAATATATCATATTTTTCCAGCGATATTCAAAAGCGGTGTATCGAAAATATCAATAAGGCAATATATTGTGATATTTTTTCCTGTGATATTATATCGATATTCAAAAGCTGTGTATCAAATTTTTGGAATAGTTTGCATGCAAACATTTGTGTATTATCTTTTCTTTTGATGCGATTCAAACGCTGACCGCTAGTTGGCAGCAGAGTGCAATGGGTTTTGTTTCCACCAATGAACTGTAAATCCCTCTATTATGGATCATATACCTCATGTTAAACATGTTAAGTATCAGTTTGGATTGTTTATTGAATATTCCTATGATAAATTCAGTAAAAAAATAAAATAGCTAATAACGTCTGACTGAATGTATAGCAATATATTATGACACAATGTATCGTTTCCCCTTCATCGTGATATGTATCGTATCGCCAGAATTTCACCAACACAAATCCCTAGCCAATTATACCAATATGTAAAAAAGAAAATTACAGTCTTCTAGACACAGAGACCCATTTTATACTTGTAAATTTTCAAAGTTACTTTAAAAGTTAAACGTATAGTCCCATAGTTATCATCACACACTGGTGAAATAACATCTGCGCATTTGACCCATCTTCATCGGGAGCAGTGAGTTGCAGCAGCGCTGGGGAACTATTTGGTGGTGTATTCCCTCAACCCAATCCCTTAAAGCTGAGTGTCAAGCAAGGAGGCATTGGGTCCTATTTTTAAAGTCTAAGGAATGGTCCAACCAGGATTTGAACCCTGATCTCCAAGTCTCAGGGTATACACTCTACCACTAGGCCACTGAGAAGGCAGTAAATACTGAAGAACACCGTTCAGCAAAAGCTCTAACAAGCTAATCAGTCAGCAAAGTGTGTCTTTACTTCCCACCTTAAGCCTCCTATAGAACAAAATGTTCAGCACATGTTCTAACCCCCCCCCCCCCCCCTTACTCACAGCTGACTGCAGACACAATGATACAACTGATAAGAGATTTTAAACTGTAGGATGATGGACAACACAAAAAGAAGTTGGGCAAAGACTGGATTTTCAAAAGAACAGGATTTAAAACATTTGCAGTTTGTGGTCATGAATGTTGTGTGTATGTTTTGGGGTGAAACCTTAAAGCTCCTCATGACGTATTAATCATTAAAGAGACAATGTGTAGTTTTTACCATAAATTTCTGGAAATATCCATCAAAATGTTGTTGAAAATTAATTAAATGATGCCCAGTTATTGAAAAACACTGAAGGCTTTGTAACATATAACCATAAAAATCAAGTCTAAAATACATGGGAGCGGGTAAGTCTCTGGGCGATGCCATATTCTCATCGTTGTACCTAGGGCTGAAACTAATTATTGAATGGTTCGATTAATTAAATTCCATGAATAATTTTGTATTGATTCAAGGCTTTGTTAAATATGCACACCAGTTGGAACTAAAGCCTGCCGTACACGAGAGCAAACTGCTTGCTGTGTGCACCTAAGTTTCACTGAGTTTTCGGCCTCACGAGAAGCTGAGGTGAAAATCAAACCGGTTTGATATTTTTCGCCTCACCGGGGGTAGAAACTCACCATGTGCACCCAACATGAGCTGCCGGCTGAGCCGAAATATTCTAGTGGCCAATCAGAGTGCGTTCTCTGCACACAATTTTAGTATTTGAATATTTTAATGAATCCTCTGTTGATTGATCAAATATTCTATTTGATGACATTTAGTGTGAAACAAGTCTACCCCTAAAAAATTTAAAATAATACAACTAATTTATAAAAAGTTTAATATATATTAAATTGGTGTTGTTTAGTTCCGTCTTTCCCGTCGGATATTTATAGCTAATAAATATTTGACCTACATTTCATTAACATTTTAGGTTTGTATTATATCACCCATCCTAGTCAAAACAACAATTTAAATATATCCACATATGATCAGAATAATTTAATGTTTTTTATTAACATGTTTAGTAGTAAGCTACTGGAAATGCTAATAACATTTAATTTGAATTGGTAACAATGTAATAAAGTTAAAGTCCCATTAGTCATCATCACACACTGGTGACATTACATTTTCTTACTTATTTTTTTATTTGTTTATCCTTTATTTAACCAGGAGATAAAAATCCCATTGAGATTAAAAACCTCTTTTACAAGGGTGTCCTGGCCAGCAGTGGTAAAATATCATAGATCATTAAAAACAATTACAAATTATTGATGAGGTCTCTGATGCTTTCAGCTTGCTTTTGAATTCATTTAAGGAAACTAGTTCAGTCAGTTCCATCACCTCTGTACTTGACCCATCCCCGTGGGGAGCAGTGAGCTGCAGCAGTGGCTGCAGTCGGGAACTATTGGTGTAACCCCCAATCCAACCCCAAAGCAGGGTATTGGGTCCCATTTTTATGGTCTTTTGTATGACCTGACTGGATTTGAACCCCGATCTCTCAGTCCCAGGGCGAACACTACCACTAGGCCACTGAGAAGGTAATGGTTATAATTAGTGATGCAACAATATGAACTCTTTGGGCCAGTACTGATATTAATATTACTGTTATGGCCAAATAGCCGATATTTGCTGATACAGATATACTGACATTAATGCTTCTAAAATCAGCAGATTTTGTATGGAATGAAAATTATTAAAGCTGAATTTACATTGTTATGTACACACACCACACACATATATGCTTCTGAAATAATTACAATCAAAGTCGCATGACTAAACAAATACACACCACCCGGCACTCACCCTCTCAAACAGATAAAAAAAAAAAGGAAACAAGATGAAAAAAGCATTGGCTGCTAATATTGGTCCAATTTAATTTGTCAGACCGATACGGTAAAAAATTACTAACATCGGCTGATACCGATATTGACGCCGATTTACCGTGCATGAATTTAATGAATCAAACCATTTGATGATTCACCTCTTCCACTGACAGCGTTCGCTCTGCAACACTGAGGTTTTGATCTCCACAAAAAACACAAGATTACAGGAGTTCTGCATTGTTGTGGAGTTGCTAATGCTAATGGTTTGCTTCAACTAATCAAGACACACTCTGCTGTTACGCTATATCATCTACAGCCTTGAGCCAAGATGGGTGAATCCATGAATGCTAATTTACAGTAGGACGTAGAACTATGTGGCTGTTTTCTGACCTGAGCGTTTCCCCGTCTATTTTCCATTGGCAGCTAATGCAGAAAATAGGGGTAGAAGACTATTTTCACATTCTGCGTGGATGTGAAACTCAGACTGACTGAATTTAAAATCAACAAGTAAAAAAACTGTTTCTCACAGAACTTGCTTTTTTATCATTATTGATTAAATCAACTTTAAATATTATAAAATATATCCAAAGCAACTTGTTTGCATTGAAAAACACATTTCATCCCTCATCCCAAAATAATCAATGGATTACAAGTTACTTACTAAACTGCATCAGCTGAAACTTGGCTATTTTATTTTCATTTATTAAACATTTCTGACAGCTAGTTTGTTTTTCTAAACCTGAAATAACAATTGTGTGAACCCGTTTAGCAGTGTTAGCAGGTGAATACAGCAGTTTTAACTTTTAAAAACAGAGAAACCGCATAGATGATTAATGAAATGTGTCGTTTTAAACAAATTGGTGTACACTGCTGTTTTGATCTAACACCTGCCTAACGTTGGAGGGAAAACGAGAGGAACAGCCTGCAAAACTGACTGAATAGAAGAACTGCAGCCTTAGTGTATTTGTTTTGGGAGCAATTTTATCTTTTGTGCGCAATAAAAACGTGACAGCGTATTTCTCACTGAGACACCAGCTTTCTAAAGAAAAACATAGACGACTAAACGGATATTTTGAAATATGTCATTTCTGTGACGGTGGACTCAAAGCCAACACTGACTCAGCTTACAGTTATTTCCTTGCAACCCACTAACAACTAGCTGATCGACGCAAAGGAAAGCTAAATGTTAATTTGACACTGGACACATTTTAAAGCATATTTTTCCTGGTGTAGAGTGGCTCCCACTGCCTCGTTTTTGTGTAAGAACAGCAACGATGACCAACTTACTGTTGGGTGACTTCCCCATCCAGGTGACGCTTTCGGTTAGCTAACCTAGCGTTAGCAAATCACTCGAAGTTCATCATCTCCGAGAACACAAATGCTGGGTCTCACGCGAACGATAACTAGCACAATAAATGTCTTAATAAACCAGCAAACTAGCCTAAACTCGAGGTATACAATAACGAAAGCCAGAACTGTCAAACAATGACATGCTGCTGTCAAAGCCGGTGGGCCAGAACAGCTCTCAAGAAATCTTCCCTCGTGTGCATGAAAACGTTCACCAACAAGAATAAAAGTTATTCCGGCTGTCCAGCTAGGACAAACCTAAACCAACATAAAACACTTAGTTACCATGATTAATCTGTTGTCAGAAAATAACAGTAACATGAGTTTTAACGGAGATAAAAACTTACTATTCTTTGATAAGAACCATATTCTATTCTTCCTTTCGTTGAAGCTGGTACAGCCCAGCGCCGCTTATTGAAAGTAACGTCACCAGCTCAGGGACCTCCGCCCGGTGCACGTGATTTGGAATCGTAGGATTTCCGAGGAAGATCCCGCCTTTCTCGTGTCTGATTGGCTAGAAGGGCTCTCCTACGATTGGCTATTAAATTTCGCAGCCAATCTTTTCCCTCGGTAAGTGCAGACTGTCCTGCCACCAACAGAAAAGCTGTCGCGAGGGGTTTGAAGAGAAAATGCGAACTCGTTTTGCAAAATATTTATTTCAGTTTATTTTTAATAAAATAATGAAAAACGTAAAATATGAACTGCTGCATTATCACACTGTTGGACTGACTTTAAATATCCTGGCTCTCATGCATTGCACGCTTATATTTAAGCAGAAAGAGTGCATATGATAACATAACCCCAGTGCTTGAGAGCCAACATATAGTCAGTCAGTATGCAACAAGGTTTATTACACGTTTGTTTTATAAAAGAAAACTGATATGTTGCAAAACAGGACATTATGTGTTTATGGCACTAAGTTCACATTTTCTCCAGACATAAAAACTACAGCAAGGGAACAGTTTCCTCTTATATGAAACAGACAATCATAGGAGCCCTTGCAGCCAATCAGAAGCGAGAAAGGCGGGATCTTCCTTGGACATCCTACGATTCCAAATGACGTGTCCAGCGTCGCCCACACGAGAGCTGATTTGCGGAAAGAATAAGAGCCCGCCCACTAATCAGAATTATCTATCTATCTATCTATCTATCTATCTATCTATCTATCTATCTATCTATCTATCTATCTATCTATCTATCTATCTATCTATCTATCTATCTATCTATCTATCTATCTATCATCTATCTATCTATCTATCTATCTATCTATCTATCTATCTATCTATCTATCTATCTATCTATCTATCTATCTATCTATCATCTATCTATCTATCTATCTATCCATCCATCCATCCATCCATCCATCCATCCATCCATCCATCCATCCATCATGCCAAGCTCAGAAATACAAGAAAGTAAACATGTTTTATTGAAACAGTTTACATGAGAGATGGTTGTTGTGAAACTGCCATATTCAATCTCAAAAAGTCATGGGTTAAAAAGTCATACATGATACTTAACACTGAATAGCAAGAGAATCCATGCTTCAGAGCAGACACTCGGATCACAAAGAAATCAGGCAAAATGCCATTTTTTTGATTTCCATAAAAAATATTAAATCTTTTATCCACTCTATCCATCTTAACATGGTACAGATTTGTTCACTTTTTAATTATATAAAAATGCTTAATACTGATTGAGAAACACAAAGTTAATTTACAAAACATAATAATAATAATAATTTTTTATATTAACAACAATAACAAACAATAACAATAACATTTAAATTTAAAAACAAACAAACAAACAAAAAAGAATGAAGGAATCAATAGTTGTTGCATCTTGGCCCACACAAAGATTTTATGGGAAGAAAAAAATATAAGAAATTGCATTTAGATCCACCTGACACAGTTACACACAAACACAGTATCAGGTCGTTGAGTATTTCCCATTGCCATTTACAGTGTTATGGGCACAAAAACAAGACAGTCTCTAAAGCATTCATGTGCCTCCGTAGGAACACACTCACTAACCAAAGTTATCAGTCAGTCAAGCTTAGACCAAAAGCAGTCTTGTAAATGAGTCCAACTCCTCCAACACACAGGATAATACGCTATAGACAAAGAAACTGACCTTTATTTTGAACATTTCAGCATTTAGAAGAGGGAAAAAATCTTCCAGGTGACAGGAATTTGAGGCCGTTGCCAGCAGGTAGTCTGATAGAACGAGCGCCAGGGCTACTGCGTGTGGAAATAGTTGGTGACGGGGCAGCTTTTCTGGGGTTGGAACAGTGGTGTCCATTGGAAGAGTTCTTGCTACTGCTATCAAGCCCCAGCTCTCGCAGCTCCAGTTTGTCTTGGCCATCATTAGGGGAGCAGTGCCTTGGAGAAAGGTTTAGAAGGCTCAGTACATCTCTACTGGCAGAAGCAATAGGTCCAGAAGTGCTGTGAATGGCTTTCACAGGACCTAGATGATACTGTTGTTGAGCTGCAGCATTAGCCCAAAAGGTCTTCAGATTGTGAATAGCTTGGACCTTTTCATCAATGACGCCTCTTCTGAGCCGATCCAAATCTGCCACATCAGTGGATGTGGAACAGGTAGAGCCTGTAGAGGAGTATGACAGAGCAGGGGATGGAGCACTACCAGCTGGAGACTGGTGACCTGAACTGGGAGATACATTACTTGGGGAACGAGAAATGTGGCCACTGTAAGGAGAGCTTGGATACTTCAGTTTAAACTGTGCATGACTGTCCAGTGTAGGTGAGGCATGGCTGCCCTCCTTTTGGGAAGACTCGGAAACCGCGGGACTATTGTATCCGGAGCTTATCTTTTGCAGAGAAGAAGACCGGGAAGGAGGTTTGGGCCTTGGTGAAGACTGAGCTCGACCACTAGCGCTGCTGTTAGGACGGCTGAATGCGCTTGTTTCAGACGAGCGGAACGCACTGCTTCGGGATGACGTTACGGCACCCGTCCCGCCCTCTGCTCCGGCCCGCTGAAGACTGCTCACAGCTCGTAAATGACTGTGAGTCTCCTCAAGAATCTTCTGGGCTAGCTCTTGTGGATCAAGTTGGACAGTTTTTTCTTCCTGAGACTTGACAGTACTGTCTGTCTCAGTACTGGACTGGTCAGATTCACCTGTGTCTGAGCTGCTAACCTTACCCACCTTCTGGAATGGTGAATTCGGGCTAGGCACCAGAGATGTTTTGATAGGGGATGTTGGGGTGGACACGCTACCTCTTGAGGATACAGAGACGGTGTAGCCTCTCCCTGCTCCCGTGGATCCAGTTACCCCTCTGCCTCCACGATGGTGTCGCTGGCTATGGCCAGGTGGCAACGGTAGAGAATCACAGTGACTACCCAGTGGTTCGCTGCTTATAATGGAAAAGCCTTCGTATTCCTCTTCATCGCCCCGCGCTCCTGGCCCTGTAGCAGCTGCTCCATGAGGAGACGAGCGACTACGTGGAACATGAGAGTGTTTGTGAACGGAGTAATGTGCCGTGGCTCCGCAGCGTTGTCGGTGACCAAGAAAATCACAATCAGACTTGGAGGCAAAACTCATGGAGGAAGTTACAGAGCTGAGACTATAGACAGAGATGGCATCTGATGCTTGATTGTCCAGGCAAGGAGGAGAAAAGGGAAGGCTTGAGTATCCCAAGGGCAACGGGTTAGACACAGACTGTGCTGAAGCCAGAGACTCGAGGGAAGATGAGCTGTCTAGACTCAAACGCTTTGGCAGTTCTGTGGAGTCTAGAAACATGGCAGAGTAGAAAATATTGTCAGAACTTGGTAGAAAAAATTTCAAGAAAATATGCCTTCAGGTTGAAAAACAAACACAAATTTACCAAAGAGCGACAGCAAAGACTGGAGAGCAAAGTGCAAGGTGCGGCGGTTGGCCAGCTTGCCAGTCTTTAGTACCACTTCCTCCTGGCCTACCTCACATAGATCAAATCCTGCACAAATACAAATAAAACACAAGTTAGCAAATTCATATCCACATGTTGACACTTATTTTCATTACCGTATATGCAGATGATGTGCTTGTATGTTTGTCAGCACGTGTGATGTGTTTTGTCTCTTTTGTAAAGCAATTTTTCTGGTATCTTGTAATAATAATGAATTGAGCACCATATGGGAAGGTAAAAGAAGCTAAATTAAAGTATTTTCTTTGGTAGTGGTTGACATACCGAGAGCAGCTAGAAACTCGTGGCACCCCGGCAGTCTCCATAACTGGACGCTTATAGAGACCTGAATGGGCAGGAGGGAGAAATCCTGTTCCTTTTCTCCTGTCTGGAGTTGGACTAGCACCTGGTGGAGCTTGAAAGAAGAAAACATTACAAATATTATTGTGTAAGAAAAAACATTTTATATTAACTGTAAAACAGAATTTCCTTTCAGAATTTTTGCTCATTTTGATTTAAATTTCATCTGCAAATCTTTTATAATTTAATGAGAATCATACACTGAATATTGCTGAATTTCTTTATCTAATTTGGAATAAAATCTGAGTCCAAAGATGTAGTGATAGAAAAGAACGTTAATAATAATAATAATAATAATAATAACAATAACAACAATAACAACAACAACAACAACAATAATAATAATAATAATAATAATAATAATAATAATTATTATTATTATTATTACGAATATTTAAACTCAGAGAGTTTGAGCTTTGTGGGGATGTACATGTGACCTGGTAACAGACTTAATCCTTCTGTTTGAAGGTTGCACAACTCAAAACAGGGAAACTTTGTTAGGTTGATGCAACTTTGAAGAAAACTTGCCAGAGTGGTGTTTATATAATAGTTCTATCCTATTAATACTGTCCTAAAACTTTTCCCTGACCTAAAAGGAACCCAGGCGATAAAGTCCCAAACACTTCAAATCCCCTAGATCTGACAAAGCAACTAGAAGTGGAACATTACAAACAAAACCACTATATGGTAGTTTGGCTTCATTAAATCATGCAAACACTTCTAAACAAAGCAAAGTAATGCAGCCTGTGCATGGAAAACTAGTTTTTTCATCCAGCAGGAAATTATACAGTGGAAAGTTATGAAACGGAACAGAATGGATTGCAGTGCATATAGATGAATGCACTTACCATGGCCACCATATTTTTAACAGCCTTCAGACCACACGGTGGGTGCAGGAAAAAGAGAACAGGGTTTTAATTGCATGCACATAGGCTGTACACAAACAGGTAAAGAGGAGGATAATAGCAACAAGTGAAGTGTTTAATATAGCAAAGGGTTTAGTGCAATCAGCGTACGTGGATTTGGCTGCGTCCTGAAACTGCAAATCATTACCTCACTGCATGGTGTTTCACACTGATTGCCACTTTAAGGATAAAACTCAGCAGTGCAAGATTAATGTTGTAATATCACAAGCTTGGAAGCAAGAGCAAAATGCTCCATGTGTAGCTAAAAGAGCTACTAGTTAGGCTTTAATGAAGATTTTAGAATAGAATAGAATAATCCTTTAATAGTCCCACAAGGGGAAATTTGGTTGTGTCAGCAGCAACATCACACATATACAAACAATGCAGGACACAGAACAGAAGCACAGTTATTACCTATTTACATCATGGACAATAGTTACCAGAGCAGAGTACAATACAGTTGTTTATATAGGCGCACACATATTGTGTAAGCATAGCAGGATACTGAAGATGTTAAAATAGTTTTAAAAGTTTAAGATGATTAAAAGAGTGCAGATTGTTTATTTTTTACCCATTCATTAAAAAGTAGACATGTAGCCTTCAATAAATTATTGCATGTATAAGCTGAGAAAAAGTAATGTGTAAGTTATAATTGTAGAAGTTATTACAGCACTGATGCCGACAACTGTTTTGTTTGGGAGCAGTTCTGATTGTACAGTCTAACAGCTGCAGGGAGGAAGGACCTTCGGAAACGCTCCTTCATGCATCTAGGATGCAGCAGTCTGTCACTAAAGGAGCTCTGCAGTTCAGCAACATTTACATGCATGGGGTGGGAGACTCTGTCCATCAGAGATGTTATTTTGGCCAGAGACCTTCTGTCTCCCACCACCTGCACTGGGTCTAGGGTGCATCCTAGAACAGAGCTGGCCTTCCTTTTGCTATACAGATTAGGATTCAGCAAAAGCTGTTCATCTTTATAAAGTAACTGGCAATCGTCTTTTACAATTAAGGCAAAAGAAGTTGCAAGGAAAGTAAGGAAATCTGCCCCAGTAAATCATACGATGTCTTTTGATTGAAAATGCAGTTATATCTAAAAGTTCAGAAGCCTTTGTTCGACGGTGATGCCTACCCGGTTGATTAGCTGCTCTCCTGCCTCTGAAGCTGTGATGAGTTTGCACAAAGCCTGGAGAGCTGGTGGTGGCAGACCTAAGGAATGGGAATAAAGGATTCTCTTTATTGTGTTTACAAGACATGTTGTTTACTTCATATGTTAAAACGAGCTGCACTAAAAAGGTTAGACATGAAATGACATGCATAGGTGGGCTCCATGTGGATATATATGAGCAAACTGGGGTTTGTCCGCAGTTTCCATGGTGACCCCACAGGGATTTTCCCACATAGATTTTAACAAGCCCATGTATGAGTTACAAACCCTCTTAGTCCCATTGAAAACCCGTTAAGTTGATGTTTGCACAAATCTATGAGGGCAAACCCCTGTGGGACCGTCATGGAAATCATGGACAAACCCTTTTTGGTACCCATGTGGTTTGCCCACATATATCTAAATGGAGCCCACCTATGCATGATGGAAGGGATCCTCAGAAAAAGCAAGAAATAATAATTCTGCATCAGTTTGAGAGACAATCAGATGAAATTCTGTAACATAACAGAATATACTCGCACAGCTAACCAAAGAATTAAAAAGACAGACAGTTTTTTGGTCTCGTAACTGATGGTGTTTTATAATGGGTCTCGGCTTACCCAGTAGTGATTGCAATGTGGTGCTACACTGCTGGAGCCTGTCTCCTGGGTCAGCTGTAGGAAAGAAGACAGCTGCAGGAATCCCAGGGCCTGCAGAGTCGAGGCGGAAGCCCACGGCTGTCAGTAAGGCCTGCCATCCGGAGACTCCCCCCACCTTGTTCTCCACACTCTGCTGGGATGTATACATGGAGTTTCGTTGACCATTCTGTATCCTCTGAAGAGATTTCTCCACCTGACAGAAAAAACGGACAGTGCATCAGTTTAATTGTATCTTTAGTTGTACTTTTGTTCCGGTGTGTGTGTTTCTGTCTCACCAGGTGGAGTAAAACTCTCAGAGCATCACGAGCTCGATCTGGGTACTGCAGAATCTCGGCCAAGGCTTGGCCAATCAGAGAAGATGGGCTGTTCAGCTTCACGTCATTACCAATCAGCATGTATCCTGAATGATGGACGCGGTAAGACAAGTGGGTGAATTAAAGACTGTCGTTTTTATCACGCTGATATTGGATTAACGCGTCTAACCTGCCCAGTTGGACGGGTGGGAGTACTGCTTGCTGCTCTGGACAGTTTTCATAGCATCTGCAAGTGCTGCACTAGCCTTGGTCCCATTGAGCAAGGCAGAGTAGAAAGCATGTACAAAAACCTTGGACGCTGCAACTGGTACAGGCCACAAGGAGACAAGAACACACTGAGCACCAGCAGCCAGGAAGGCCCGGGTCAGTCCCACAACACCATCGGCTGTGACCTTGCTGCTGGACTCTTGGTACGACCTGCAGTCACATAAGGAACATGACTTTCATCGTAGTTTCTGACTAACATGTACTAAAACAACTTATTTCCCAACATAAATCTTTGGATTTCAAAATAAAACATCACAAATAACATCCCAATTGAACCAGTACACCTACCCCAGCACCACCAGCTTGACAGGTAGCCTCAGGTCCAATATATCCGCAGCTGTAAGCAGGAACTCCTGAAGAGGCGGACTGTCACAGATGCTCTCCACATCACTGCTGTCATCCTGCATGTGCAGAGACTCTGGGATGGTGTAGCCACTTCCTGTGGAGCCCTTCCTCCCTCGACCACTGCTGCCTCTCCTCCCGCTGGCACATCTGCCCATCGTTCCCACTCCACTCGCACCAGCACCTCCAGGGACACCCTCCGGGTTTGGGGTGAGCACCAGTGCTGCCAGTTTCCAGGAAATGTGGGTGGCAAAGTGTGCACACTCCGCTTGTGTGAGCGCACTCATTACCCTCTCCTTGGCGGCAGAAGAGCCAGTGAAGGGCTGGCATCCCAGTAGCTCGGCAACCATCAGAGCTTCCTCCTCTGCAGAGGGCATGGGTCCCCAAAGCCAGCGATCCATCACAGGTGAGGGCAGTCTGGGATTCCCTACAACTGCTGCCATGGAGACGCCCCCGCTGGGTGCAGGTCCAGGACGCCGAGAGTGAGTCTATGAAGACAGAAACACACTTTACATTCAAGCACAGAGCTCCGAGGGAGGAGGTTTACTTCGTATGGTTTTGAAATAGTTTAGGAGTTCAAACCTTTGAACTGAATCCAAGCCCGTGGATGGAGGGCACGGCTATCAGGCTGAAGCGCTCATATAAATACTCATTGGAGGAGCTTCCCTTTAGCAGGGCAAAGGGGATGAGGTACAGCTCTCCCTCCAGCACCATCACCAGCTGTCGGTGTCTGCCCACAGGCCCACTGGAGTGCATCAGGCCCTATTAGACAAAGCAATTAGAGCGAAAATGCCCAAATGCTAAATAAATGTCATTATGTGTAGCTTTTTATTTCCGTCATTGCCCACATGGAACTTTTCTCTCCTTGTTCATTCTTTCATAAAACTATAAAAAGGCATGCAGGTAACACTCACCCCCTCCATAGGTGCAATGAGTAAATCATAAAGGGCCCGGAGTGGAGGTTTGCCAAGGTTGCTAGAGCGACGAGACAGGGAGGAGTTACCATCTTTGGCAGGAGACATGGTGTTGCTGAACAGGCTGGTCATACTCTGGCAACTCCTGCACAGAAACAAAACGATACAGCTTTAAAACGACAGATTCAAGGCAGCTTTAGGTAGTCTGCAGTTTAATGCATTTATTATAAGCTCCAGTTTTGTTTTCCTTCATTTTCTCCTGCAATGTAAACGTATGAGGCATCATGTGGATCAATGTGGTAAAACTGAATTTACTGACTATGTCTGATTATCTTGACACCTAGAGTGAGTAGTTATGCATCTCCTGCATCAGGTGTTTTCATGAGCAAGAATGTTGCTCAGATGATCGGAAACGGTGTAAACGAGAGCAATCGATCTCACAACACCAGAATTACGTCTTTTTAAAAATCCCTTCTTTCCCAAATCTAATGCAATATGCAGCAATGCAATACTGCCACTAGATGGCAGTATTGCATTGCTATGGGGGACTACTTACATCCTGTATTTCATGTATTTTTTTTTTACATGCAGCACAAACTCACAACTTAAAATCCTTTAAAGTAAGAGTCCAGTCTAGATCTTGAGTATGCTGGGATGCATCATAACAGCGAACTGCTCACAGACTCAAACACCAGCATACTCAGAGCTGAGTTAATGCCAGCCTCGAGGTTAGAAGTCGTTTGCTTGGCCCTGTGGGGTTATGTTTTATGCCTGCACTTGTCACAGCTCTCCATCTGCTCTGCCAGCCCGAGTTTCTTCTAGAACATGGCCAACAGTCATCTATCCTGGCCTTTCTGGAAGCCCCAGGCCACAGGCTTCCCTCCAGCCCCTCAGCAGCACTCGGTCACTCTCTCAGGGTTTGGCATGAGCCCTGACGGGGAAGCAAAACAATCGTCTGTCAGCTTGACAGAGGGAACGAGAGAAGAGGTGAGCGTAGATTGGAGAGTAAACCAGACTAGAAAAGATCGAGGGCAAGGAGGCTGGAGCTAAAAGCTGAACGCAGCGAGCTTAAAATACAAGATTCAACCATTCCTGCACACTGACCTCCTTTCATAAAGAATGATTCTCTTAACTTTGAAGCCATTTAAGCTTTCTGAAGCAGCAATCCTGTTTTATTCAGACTTTATTGACAACTTCATCAAGATCATCAAACAATCTCATTATGGGACGACTGTGCATAATGACTTATTGAGTTACACACTGACAGGATTAGACCAACGGAGGCTTTCATCATCACCTTCCCACCGTAATCCTTTCAAGCTCCTCTGTGAAGATTAGTGATCAAAAAGGCTAACTGACAAATCTTTTTTGTGCTGAGTTCATTGTTCCTGGACACTTTCTTTGATTCGAGTTCATTCCGTTTTATTCTTCTTATTTTAAGTGACTCTGGTAAAACTAGTCTTCATACCTGACCATTCCAAAGAGTAATACTAGTTTTACATGTGGAGGAACAACAATAAAAGGGTGAATTAAAAAAAAAACCTTAATAAGCAGATACACACTGGTTTATGATACCAAACCTCCAGATGATTGTCTTGAAATGGCAAAGAGGTTTTCTTCATTTTCTTGGGATTTTGTATTGTGATGGAGGACAGGCTCTTCAGCTTGTGTAGCTTTGTAATTCAGGGTTTTGGAGGCCCAAAAGAATGAGCGGATTATTACCGGCAGCCCATTAAAGGCGCTTAATGAGCACAGAGACTCAATTAAAGATGGAATTACCCCCTCATCAAAGAGCAGCTCAACTGTGGACTAGGACGAGAAAATATGACCTAGACACACGCGCTCTCTGTCTCACACACACACACACACACACACACACACACACACACACACACACACACACACACACACACACACACACACACACACACACACACACACACACACACACCACTGCTACGTATTATCAATCAGAACAATCTGAAAGAGCTCTTTGCATATTTTTAATAAACAGCGATTGCACGGCAGTCACAACAAACCCAGGCAGAGCAAACACCGGTCCAAGAGTCTGTGGCACTCACACAAGTGTGTGCACACACAAACACACTTGTGCAAACAGGGCTCCATCAGAGGAGAGAGTTGATAAGGGCTTTAGCAGCTTGGCGGTACGTCATCTATTTAATATGGAGGATTCACAAGCTGCCTCTGCACTGGTGAAGCAATCGCACAGAGCCCTTTCACAGACGAGCTGCAAAAGTCTCCTTAACCAAAGCAGATATTTTAATCTTTTGAACGTTTTTTTGTTAAAAGCAACATTTGGTGACTGGGATTAAATCAGTAAAAAGCAGTAGCCCCCTCCCCCTCGCACCTGTTAAACAGGTTGTTTCTGGACACCATGCGGAGGAAGCCGGTTGGATCGGTGACAGAGTTGAGCTTGTTGTTGATTTCCTCAAACTGCTGGTCCAGCAAATCTCCTGCTTCGCTCTCCGTCTCGCTGCTCGAGCACCCTCTGATGGAGACAGAAACAACAGAGAGACGGAGGGAGAGACAGTCACAACACTTTAAATACTGGCAGGGAAATGCCTCTTGAGCACAGCAGACAATACAGACAAGTTCATTGTTTCTCTGCGGTTAAATCAACTCCACACACTCACCATCTGACATAAATACTATTCAACCCACACAATTGGCCCAATTTCCCAGCCTTGAAGCCCACTCTCTGAAGCATAGTTAAATCCTTTCATTATAATGCTGATAATGCTGATCTAGTCCAGGGGGAGTCAACCACCTCCACCCCACTCTCATTCGCCACCACTCTCTGCCTTCATGTCTGAACTTTGTTTCCTCTGATGCGCCCACGTCGAGTTAACTCTAAGTGAATGTCAGCATCTTTATTCGCACGGTATCTGGGAGCTGAATCTCCTGTAGCTGCAACACAACCTCCCACTATCTCAACGCCATCACAGCCTTCCTAATTCCCTCAAGGTGGAAGCTCTTTCACTGATTTACTCCTTCTATATGCCCCATCATATGTGAGAAACACAATAAAGGGATTTAACGCATTTTCCTCAAAATTTTGTGTAAATATTCAACATCTGCTCTTTCATCCATCCTGACTCATGTCGGAACGCTTTGCACTCTACAAAAGTGAACGGGCTGGTAAGTGGTGCCATATTGTGCCCATCCAGGCGCAGTGGTGTGTGTGTGCAGCTTCCCATTGGAGTAGTAAATGAGCTGATAATGGGGTGGGAGGGTCAAGCTGCCATGGCAGAGACAGGTACTGCTGGGCACCATGGATCAAATCCCAACAAGAGGAACGTCAAAGGCAGGTGCAGAGCCTCAAATGTCAGGGAGCGATTTTAACTTTCCATATGTGTCACTAAAGCTTCCATCTCTTTCTGCAGAGTGCCTCTGGTTACACGCCCTGTTGTCTGTTATTTACCCGCCTCTGCTTCTTTGACGTTTTCCCACATTGATTTTATCACCTCATCTCAACATTCTCCTTGAAGGAAAACCACTTTCTCTTTTCCTTTACTTCAGGGGCACTATTTGTCAGGTGGATGGAGATACTGACGGCCATTTTCCCATCGTGTTCATCCTCACTGGGGAGAGAAGGGACTGCTTTACGTCCCGGGCAGAATAATGCTCTTTACATGGGAAAATCTGATCAAATTACTCCGTCTTCAACCAAACTGGGGGACACGTTTACTCGTACCAATAGACGATGCTATAAACCAGGAGTGGGGAACCCCTGGTCCTTGAGGGCCGGTATCCTGCATGTCTTTGCTCCAAGACTTCTGATTCAGTGGTTCTGCAGCTCATCAAGCTCTACAGAAGCTGGTTAATCACCTGCAGATTGAAATCAGGTATGATGATGCAGGGTTGATACTAAAATATGCTGGATAGCGGCCCTCGATGGACCAGGGTTCCTTACTCCTGCTATAAACCAACTATGAAGCAAAGTTATTCTGCAGGAAAACCTCGAATTTCCAAACAGGAATTATGAGACTAATACATGAGTTAGAATTTGTGCACTAAATGTTCCTGGATGTGTTATTCTGGAAAATGTCACCAAATGTTTGTGAAATGTCCACGACTGGACTGCAGTGACGGCTGTTTGTAAGATAATTCTTATGTTTGATCACGTTTGGCTTTAATCACTCTTCCTCACTTATGTTTTGAATTCTGGACGAACAAAAGCAAAAAACAAAACATTCTATTGCTGACAAATACAGTTTAACGATAACGTACCGTTTATGTTTCAGGTTTTGTTTTATTTCTATTTTTGTGAATTTCTCTCTCTTTTAAAAATCTCACCCACAGAATTACCAACTGCAGATTTTCAACCAAGCACTAATTGGCCCGATTTAGTAAATCTGCTTCTTAAAGTGAGAAATGTTTTTGGCTTGAATTTTATTCAGTTTAAAAACAAACATTATGGCAAAATGTGACAAAATTTTTAATATTCCAAGTTAGAAAGAAAATATATTATTAATTCTAGTCAGGCATTTTGCATAATTAATGCGAAGAATAGTGAGGTCTATGTCAGGATGCAACAGACACCCCACCTGCTGTAGTAAGACTCTACGCCCAGAGCCTCACGAGCGCTGGAAATGTGCTGCTCCAGCGACGAGCTGCTCACCACTCCACTTCCACCTCCTTCCTGGAACTCTGACCCTACCTCGGACACACCTTCTCCAAGGTAAACTTCATGAAACTTCAGGATTCCTGTTGAGATGGAGAAAATTTTGAATCACAGTTGTTAAAAAATAAGAAGTTGTGACAGGAAGAGTTACACGCTGAATGGGAAGTGGTCATTTCTGTTGCACAGGTTAAAGGTTATGAACCATTCTGACATTTTTGAGATTAGAGTTGTTTAAAGCAGCAGAAATCGACTTAGATCTTGATCCCCCTTGCATTAGCTCTTAGCTCATCAATCTGGTCAGAACCAAGATGGTTTCCTCAAAATGAGGTTGCTCAGGACCAGTCTGGATGTTTTAAAACAGAAACGGGTGTTGGATTGTCAGACGAGATCTGGCATAAGTTTCTGCGGAACATTTGTAAATCCTTGATTTGTGTGAGACAGTAATAGTCAGTTCAGTGTAGTGCACCATTTGCATTGGGCCAAAGACTTGAGAAATTAAGCTAGACTTGGACCCAACATGTGAACGATGCAGACCTGCCACACTTATTCTGGTCCTACTCAAAACTATGGAGATATTGGGGGTAAGGCTAGACAATAGAGAAAAAAATATATCGCTAACATATTTTTTATATTGATCGACATCGATAATTATTGAAAAATATATTTAAAATGGTAGAAAATATATTTTACTTGCAGCCCTGGCCATTTTTATTTTTGGTATTTTTATTTTTTCTCTGCCTCTTTTCGCTTCAACATCTAACTGCCTCATCCTCCGTTTTGGTTTGAGAGGGGAGGGCCTGGTGACGTGTCGTGCCCAGGTCTGTGAATTTGATTGGTTAGGAGTAAGTAGTGAGTCTAGTATGCTGCTACCTGATAGGTTTCAATGACAAAGGGAAACTTTTTTATCAAAGTTTATTCGACCCATTTTTTTTCTGTCGCACCACCTGTCTATCGATAAATATATTGAACTATTGAATTATCGCCCAGCTCTAATTGGGGGTCTATTTTTGATGCTCTCTCCGAGATTTGTGAGCCCACTGAGTGCCCTGACCCTTTGTTTGGAGTGGGCATGGAGGACGCGTCTTTGGACACAAACCAGCTGGACATGATTGCCTTTTGCCGTTTATTAGCTAAGAGACTTTTATTATTGAGATGCAAAGATTTTCATCTGCCAGCATATGGTCACTGGGTCAGTGAAATTATGACGCATATTCATTTAATACAAAGTTAGGCACAAATTAAGGGGCTCAGCGGGGAAATTCTGTGGTATGGTCGTCATTTGTCATATTTTGACAGATTTTGATATTTTTTGTGACAGTTTTATTTCTTTTGAGCTTTGAGTTTTAATTTGTATTTTTTGTGTGTTTGTTTTTTTTTACTTTGACCCAGTGTGGCGAGGTGGGTGGGGATGGGAGTTATTGTGAGTTATTTAATGTGAAAAAAAAAAGAAAATGAAATTGCTCAAAGGGCGATCTACTACTAGTAATATAACCCTAATCTTAACCCTAAACTTTCCACAGAAAACCATGAACAGATAAAATGCAACAGTTTCCTACCTACTTTTGTTTATAAGATGCTTTAATGACTTGCTCATTACCAGAAAATACTGAATCATTTTAAAAGAGAGCTGTGAGTAAAACCATGCGTAGCAGTGCATCTGTGGAGCCAATTGAATAAAACAAACAACATTCAATACGAGACAAGAGTAGGCTGCATGTGCCATCTGCTGCCTGCATCAGAACGGGCCAGGGAGGAGCTCAATGAGAGATGGACTACAAGCTGTGTGTGTGTGTACGTGTGATGTAAATGTGCAGGTCCTATCATGCAAATTTCATACTAAATTGAAATGAAATGTAATTGTGCATCATCCGTGTGTGCATGCACACTCAGGACCAAATGCTACAAAATTTGCACAAATAAAGAATTCATGGCTTTCATGGCCCTTTTCATTGACTGCACTCTTTGGAGCTGGCCGTGTTTGAGTGCCAGCTGGATGCCAGGGAATGCCAGGAAGTGACAGACAGGCGATTAGTGAGCAAGTGGCTGCCTCTTAGCCTGAGGCGATATTTAACGCTTTGAAGATCTACACTGCTCGCTGTAGTGTTCTTCCTGCTTGCGAGACTTGTGACGAGGGGGGGCCAAGTTCATCTGGATGCCTGGGAGCTTGTCTTGATCAAATGTTGAGGGCCTGTAGCACAGGACACGAGTCAGTCCTCTCGTTTCCTCTTTTAACCGAAGACAGCACAAAGGGGCTAAAGTACAAGAGTATGGTAGCATTGGGAATCATGTGACATGCATTGTAATTAATCCAGATTTGTATTTTCTCTTGGTTAAACTGGAATCTCTTCAATTCTATGCAAGTAAGTGGGCTGGACCTAAATCTCTGTTTAAATAGAAGAAAATAAGTACAAACGTGCACCAGTAGCGAACAATACCCCCAAATAAATAAATAAACTGACGATAAAACAAAAGGAAGAAAAGAAAAAGATTATGTTTGACTTGGTGTAACCGCCTAATCTTTTCCTCCTGACATGTAGGCGGATGCTCCTGCATGCTGGCTGTGTCCCAATCTGTGTCACTGTCAATTAGCGTGGTTCATTTGTAGATGATTTCTGGGGTGAAAAGCGAGGCAGGGGGCAAATCCTCACTGTGGAGTGGCAGGTGGCACTTCCACTTGGTGTCAAAGATGGTCTCCTCACCCCCCGGCAGCTGAAATCAAGGCTCAAGCCTCTAGGCCAATTTTTTCACTTTGATTTGTACAAGCGTGCGTGCGTGCGTGTGTGCGTGTGTGTGTGTGTGTGTGTGTGTGTGTGTGTGTGTGTGTGTGTGTGTGTGCATGCACGCTCTCATCACATTTAGCTGATTGGCTTTAAATTATGAACAGAGGAAGAATATCATTTCCATATAAAAAGTAAAACACAGTTTCAGCTTGACTGCCCTGGGAAGAGTAGCTGTTGGTCATAAAATCAGAGAAATTTACATTTCTAAGTAAGACATTTTAAAAAGTATCCCATCTCAGCTCATTAATAAAACAATTTAAAGTATGATAGATCAAGTAGAATAAAATCTTACCCGCCCCTGGAGCCAGAAGCCAGCTGTACAAGTAACCTGCAGCCATCGAGAAATACAGAACCAAGGCCCTCTGGCTGTTGACAGTGTCCAAAATGTGCTCCACTGTTACCGGCGTGTAGGGGTCAGAGTCCTGCTGGCCCGTCTGCCTCTCCACCAACAGATCGGCAAAGGCTCGCGTGCGACCCCGCTCGGCCACTGCCAGGGCTTCATCATGGTGACCTGTGGAGTTCAGAGGCCAAAGTAAAATTACAGGGAAGTTCTAAACAGAGTAATATAGCAAATATACAGCAGGATTAATTAATTCTGGCTCACCCAGGCTGACAAGGACCCTCTGGAGAGCCTGGTAGCAGGATGTTTGCAGGTCAAACAGAGAGAGTTTGTAGTCGGTGCTGTGCTGGGCTTCATGGCGGATGGTTTCAAACAGAGCAGATGCCCGGTAGAGCTGAAATTAGACAATGACCAGAAATGTAACATTATAATTAGATATCTGTGTTTCTATCATCAAGGCTCAAGCATAGTCCTAGTGTGTGCATGTGTGTTTTTGTGTGTGTGCATTTGTGTGTGTGCATTTGTGTGTGCATGCATGTGTCTGTGCGTGTGTGTGCATTTGTATGTGTGTGTGCATATGTGTTCATTTGTGTGTTTTTGTGTGTGTGCATTTGTGTGTGCATGCATGTGTCTGTGTGTGTGTGTGCATTTGTATGTGTGTGTGCATATGTGTTCATTTGTGTGTTTTTGTGTGTGTGCATTCGTATGTGCCTTGGTGCGTGCATGCATATAAGTGTGTGTGTGTGTGTGTGTGTGTGTGTGTGTGTGTGTGTGTGTGTGTGAATGTGTGTGCGTTTGTGTCTGTGCATGAGTGTGTGCATTTGTGTGTGTGTGTGTGCGCGCGTGCGTGTTTAATGAAGCGCTGCAAGAGAGAGATTCGTTTTGGCCACTAGATGGCAGCATGCCACCATATCGGTCATTGCCCATCAAACCTCCTCCCACTGATGCTTCTCATTACAACCAAAGAAAACACTGAAGAGGAGTTTGACCAATGAACACACAAACTTCTCCACAGCTCTACCAACCCAGATCTGCTAAACAACTACCTGCTTGTCAAAATAAACATTTTAAGAGTTCAGTATTCCCGTCTGCTTCGGTGTATAGTTCAAGTCAGTTTCTGACATTAGATTGAGGGAAGGAAGGCGCCAATAGGCTAGTTTACACGGGTGCTGATTCATATGAGCCTTTATTGATTTCCTATTCCTGATTTTATAGCATCCCCGTAGGATGACTAGGACTGCCACAGGGCCACTCTCCAGGAGTCTAGAGAGTAAAACACTCCTCCTGCTTGGCCATGTTCATACCAAACAAAGAGCTGCAGCAGAGAAAAGGTTACTGGTATGGATTAGACATTTTTTATTAGCAATGTGGATCTGGTAGGTGATGGAAAGAGAAATAACGTAGGAGCATGTCTTGTGAGCACTTTTATTTGGATCCACTGCAGCTGATGTGGTGTATTCCAAGGTCATGCAGGAAAGTATGTCAGAGGGAATGAGGAGGAGGGGGAGAGGGGATCACCAATGAGCCTGAGAGTTCTGCTGCATTAGAGCTAGGGACAGAGCTGCTAATCTAAGGCTGCTTTCACTGATAGGGCTCTCTGTTCCAGTGCTGCTTTAATCTGATAGTCCACTGAACCTCCCCCTCCAAAAGGAACCAAGTTCTCAGAGCACCTATCCTCCAGCCTGACCCTTCTCCGTCACACATGGCAGAAACCATCCCAAATGTGCAGCCTCCATGAGGACTGCGAGAAAAACAGTCAACGTTATGAAGCTGTTACATATTCAGACAGCACTCTCTGGTTTCACTGTCACTGACACAACGTGGCTTTTATCTGACATGTAAAGTGAACGTCTATGTCAAGCCGAATCAGTAACGTAAGCAGAGCTTGTTACACACAAACCTTTAATGATTTCTTTCAAATAAACCCTCTTGGGGAAGTCTCATCCTATATGTCAGATAATATCGGATGCAGAGGCTTAATCTACAGTAGACCGCTGATATTTAAGGAAGCACACAGTTATTGATTTAAGCTCGCCAAGATATGAATGTGAGCGCCTCTCAGAGGGAACAGGCACTGCTGAAATAGCTGATTTGAATCAGGACACGTCAATTAGAGTCATGGCGAACTCCAGGATCACAGCTAGGTTGATGAAACACAGTTAGGCTTCAATACATATATAGAATGAAATACATGAGGTCAAGTACTCTTGATCTACACCTAAGGCTACTTTATACATGAAATGATAGAATCTACAGTTGCAGTCCACAAAAATAAACAATCAATGATGAACAAGAGTCTGCTTCTAGACCTGCAGAAGGAGGAAAAACGAGAAAAACACAGCAACAACAGGAGCAAGCTATCACTGCGTCAACCTGATGAGGAAATATAAAATCAACATTGTTTAACTGAACAATCAAACGATAATAAATCACAGTGCATTAAGTGCCAACCACAGCCTCAAGACATGTGTTGAACGTGCCCAAGTCCATGTGAGCACCATGTGAGCACCTGTGTGCGTACCCATGCATACCCGTGCTTGTTTATGTAAGGTTTCTCTATAGAGGCATCCAATAGAGAGTGTGAGGGGCCACAGATCTGCCCCCCAAAGATGTGCAGGAGATGGAGGGAGCTCCAAGTCCCAGAGATCCAGGAGCTGCCCCAGAGCGCAGGGACCCCAGGGAGACTGCAACCAGAAAAGCCCCTGCCCCCCCCAAGAGGCGCAGAGGATCGCCCCGGGGGGTCACAACCAGCAGCCGACAGAGTCCCAGGGGATATCAGCGGCAAGCCCATAGGCCCGCCCGCAGCCTTCCCCCCCAAGTCGTCTGAGCCCAGAACCCAGCGACTCGGGACCCAGAGGCGACCAGCCCTGCCGGGGACCCAACAGAGCCCAGGGACTCAGATCCCATCAGGCAGCCGCCGGGATCGATCAGGCAGACGCCAAAAATCTTAAACCCCCTGACCCGTATGTATGGTTTTTCAGAAATTCGTAAAAGTGATATAATGTAAGCAATCCATCTATTTTATTCATTTACTTATTTATTTTTTGCTAAGCATGTCCCCTGCCCTGCAAAGCTCGGTGCAATAGGAAATTGAGCGGTGACCAGAACTAACCAATAGCGTTAGACTACCGCTTACATGCCTCAAATTTGAGGAACACCTCGGCTGATGCAGAGTTGAAGAACGTTTCATGGACAAGTAAGTCTTTAAAATATAAATATATGAAAACACAGCATGACATGAGAATAATACTTGTAAAACAGCATGTTTTAGCTCTGTTTGTTGACTACAGAAGCGCATTCATGAACAAGAAACGTGAAGTCGCCATCTTAAAAAAACAAAAAGACAGACTTTTGTGTGATATGCTTGTCAGCCACTAGATGGTGGCATCGGATAAGAGAAATTCTCCAGAAAGAGATTTTAAGTCATAAAACAGGATGTGCTTGCCTCTTCTACTTCTTCTTCGGTGTTGCATGGTGGACTGCCCCATTGACTGATTCCAATGGATGCGCCACACTATTCGTTTCCTCCGATTGGTCCTAGCGCCATCCAAATGAGTGTAGAGACAGTTTGACAACTGATTCTGCCCCACAAGTGAGCTCTTGTCTATGGGTCATGACCTAAACAATATATTTACATATATAGGATGGCTTGCCAGCTATAAGAACATTTATCACCCACAACCTTTCATGCCAGAGTTTAAGAATAAGATGATCTTATGTTAAGAAATAAAAGAAATAATATTGTTTTGTGTAATGTGTGATGTCATGGAATATCTTAGCACTCAGAGAATTTGTGCAATAAATGACATTCTGCTATTACCACATCAAATCTGAGCTCAGTATCTGTTGAAGTGATTGAGTTTTGCTAGTAGGGTTTATTGTGATGGGTTAAATTCAAAAGTTAACCATTTGTAGAAGTACAGCTAACTGCTACTTTCCAAAAGTTTAAAGTGGGCCTGTTCGTTTTTTCAATAAATTAGCTGTAGTCTCTAGTATGTGTAAAAAAAAAAAGCTCTGGTGCTCCGGTTTCAGGAAGTAGAAGTTAGTATGAGAAGAGACAGGCAGAATTTGAGGTCTTACTAATTAATATTAATGATATTCAGACATCTTGCCTCTGATTGGCAAACAGCAATGAGACTCTTCCACTGCCTCCATTCACTCTGCAATGTGGATGTTTTATCTCCACAAATAACAAAAGCCTAAAGGAGTTCCAAAATGTTGGGGAGTTGCTAATGCTAATGTTAGCTGGTACAAGCCAAGATGCTCTCTGCTCTCTCCTAGCTGCTAAACCAACACAGCCTTCTGCAGTTGTAGCCAATATGGCTGAGTTTATTGATGCTAATTTACAGTATGATGTAGATCTGTGTGGCTTTTTCTAACTGGAGCTATTTCATGTCTGTTTTCATTCAGCGGCTAATGCAGGAAATAGGGGAAGAAGGTTATTTTCACATTCTGCATGCATGTAAAATGTGATTGTAGGCGCATTTAAAGACAGAGTATTACATGTTTATCAGTGAACCTCACCTCTAATTAAAATTTGTTCAGTGGTTCATGATCCAAACAAACACGCACATAGACAGAATATTTATGACACGAAATACGTGATTCCTCTTTCGTTCAACAGGAACTGAGCTGGAAAGCAATTGTGCAGTGGGATGTGTGTTGCTTTAGCTCGTTAGAAAATTATTTTGCTGAACGGATATTCCTCAATATGACTCATAAGCGCTCCGGCTCAGCTGGTCACCACCTTGGTTCGGTCATTCCAGCCTTGAGATGATTGCAAACAGGCAAAGTAACCCCTTTTTTTTCTTTTTGAAAAAAAAAAAAAATAAATAAATAAATAAAAAAAATCAACAATGACAACAAAAAACCTATCTGGGTCACATGGTATTTATGTGCACGCATCTTGACAAAAGTGTTTTTTTTTGGGACTAGGTCTGGCGAATAACAGCAGCTGGGAAAAAAAAGAACATCCCTACAGACACACATGACAGCCACCGCTGTGGGCTGAGTGTCAGGGTTGTGTGAAGATACAGAAAATAAAAATAAATAAATAAAGATCTGGAGCGGGGTGGTGTGGACAGACTGTAGGGAGATGTTAAGAGGATGTTCCATGCTTGCCAGGTGGGCAGTGGGCTGAAGAGGAGAAAATGTGTGTGTGATACAGAGGTTTGGGGCTCCTGAGACAATACACACTGATATGAGAAAAATATTCACTCATCTGTCGCCTGTCTGCTGAGATGACAGCATTTACCGGATCTACAGACTCTTCAGCACACTGCCAACATCTTCTCCCCACCTCCCCTACTGCTCCTCCTCCTCTGGGCTCTTTCGTCCACCATAAGGTTATTACTGAAAACTTGTTTCCCACCCTTTACGAGTTTGGACATCTACCTCCACCTCTCATTTGTAAGCGTTGCCAACCTCTAAGCCAACAGATGTGGGCTTATTGGAGGTCAGTTTTAACTACAAAGGCTGGAATTTGCTGGAAGGAGTCCAAATCAAAGGGAAGTCGATGTGAGGCAAAGCCGAGTCAAGGTGACTCGAGGCACGAAGAGGGAAAGAAACGAGAGCTACTTTACCTGATGTTGGGCCTCCTCCAGGTTCCCACTGGCCCACAGAGAGAGCCCCAGACGATGGCGGATCTTTGCCTCATCCTCACGCCGAGCCAGCTGCTCTGCGAGCCGCAGGCCTGTCAAAAGAGAAGGAAATGGCAGCAGATGAGATAGGGAGAGTAAAAATTATTCGGAGCAGACCAACTCGTGTGTATCTTTGAGAGTAACAGATGTAAGCATAGCGTGGCACTGATGTGCTGACAGGGAACAGGTTTGGATATTTGGCCTCAGTTGTAAGAAACTAATCGTGCACTGGGTTTTAAACGGGCACACACACACACACACACACATATGCACGCCTCTAGCAAAGGTTGAGGAGTGTTAGAACACCAATTGGACTGCATAGTAATCGATGCAAAAGATTGACTGGCTGAGCAAACACAAATACACGGGGAACATCTGCAGGGAGGAAGACACACAGCATCACAAAGACATAAACAAATATTTGGAAACTCATTTGTAGTCTAATGACAGACTTAGTGTAAACAGCAGAAGGATACTTTGAGATATTTAGTTTTCAGAGTTGTCAGTGTGTACCTGGCTGTGTGTGTGTGATCCGTAAGTGTGTGTGTGTGTGTGTATTTATCACATCGCCTGGCATGTGCACGGTTTGTTTTTGCTTCTAAATCCTGGAACACGGAGGTCCATGTCAGATCTTTGCACATGTCCTTGGCCGGCCTGATCACTCCGCTCAGGGTAATGATGAAATAAAATGTAGAATAATTTGACAGCCTCTGAGTCACATGCCCCCCAACATGCTTGCAACAGGCTTTTGCTCATTCCCAGTGCCGCTTTTCAGAGGGTCTACGTGACAGAAGGGTCAAAAACATGCTTCTGGTCACAGACAGGTGAAAAGAGGCTAAACCAGTCTCGTCTGAGTCTGCATGTCACCTCTTTCCTGGAAAACAATCTGTGGCTGAACCAGATAAGCCAAGAACAGAGGGTGTGTGATGTGGAAAATAAAAGGCAGGCTATTCCACAAGTCCAGGTCCTATGCAGCCCAGAGACTTCACGACTCGTCCGTGACCGTGCCAGTCAGCAGCCTTTGAAGCCAAACCCGCAACCGTCTCCTCTCTCTCCTTATCTCCACATGCTCCCTCCCTCAGCCTGCCTGCATGTCCTCTTCCCTCGTGCATCTGCTGCGCTCCTGTTCCTCCTTCTCTCATCTCTGCACTCCCCCACCACCACTACCACCACACCCCAGTCCCTACCTGTTTCATCTTCACCGTGGTGGTAGAGCTAGCAGAGACTCTGCACTGCTTAGGGCTCATTAGGCGCCGGAGCAAGAGAGGAAACAGATCTAAATTGTCCTTTTCATTCACTGACAGCCTCACCCCTCACTCTTCTCAACTCCATTTCTGAGCCTTTCATCTGCTCACACACACACACACACACACACACACACACACACACACACACACACACACACACACACACACACACACACACACACACACACACGAAAAAACTCCCATCTTTCTCCGAGCTACGCTGTGATAGTTCTTTATGATCAAGCCTGAATGTCAACCAACTCTATGTTTTCTTTATTCTTCAGCTGACAGTGAAATAATACATGTGAATTATGACTCATGCTGATCTGTGTCTTTCACCCCCGCCTGCCTGCCAGCCTTCTTTCCTCTCCCTCTGTCTTTTCCCTGCCTATTACTCGCACAGTCCCTCTTTTCTCCCGCTCTGTATCATTCAGTGTCTGTCACTGTCACTGTGTGTGCCTTTGGTGTGCCTGGAAGGCACAGTCACGTAGCCGAGGCTGACACGAGGATGTGGCCGTGGCTGGCTGCACCCTGAAGTGCAACTAGAGAACACTTTAAAGGCTGCTTGACAGCTGGTGAGAGGCCCTCTGCAGCCGCCCAAGGCCCACACACACCTCTAGCTTTGGTTACAAACTCCAAACACACGCACACGCACACACACACACACACACACACACACACACACACACACACACACACACACACACACACACACACACACACACACACACACACACACACTCGCACTGTGCTGGTAACAAATAACCTGGCACATGCACACAAAGCAACAAAGTGCCTTTTGATCATGACCACATGCGGAACCGTGAGTACAGTCTGTGATATTGTTGAAAACTTGGGAAAACAGTGCACACATACACTCTCCACGGGGATGAAGCATTGCTAGTGTTGCACAGGATTGTGCAGATGAAAAGTGTCATGAACTGTTGAGTACCTGATGATAAAAGAGAGCTCGAGAGTAGGCACAAAGCCTCGCTCAGCCCTCACCTCCGTGCTGCTGGTCAATCCTGTCACCAAAGTTTTAAAGAGGAAAAAACAGGCATTAAAGGTTTTTTTCCAGTAAAGGGCGACTAAACTCTAGCTGAATAAACAACTTAGACGGGCTGAGTTGTTTGGTCACTGTTTTGTTATTTTTAAACTCGTCCTTTAAATACTATGTACTCCTTTGTTGTCATTTGCATTAAGCTCAGACTGAAATATCAGTGCTGAAGACAAGACTGCAAAACACCATGCAGCAAGGGGAAAAGAAAGGATCATTAATTTAGTTTTTAAATAGCAAACTTAAAATTACGTTTAAAGCACCCGAGTTTAAAGATGAAATGATTAGTTAGGAATTGACCTGATTTTTGAAAGGCATGAAATTAAAGATAATGCATGCCCTTAAAACTCTAAGTAAGATGATGTATTTTTAATTTCCAGTTTTCAGTTTAAGTATGAAAAAATAAAAAATAAAGAAACAAGCGGCAAGAAAAATGTGGCTCCCTGCAATGCAAGAACCTAATATTAACCATTTTCAAATGTTTCCTGAAGCAGCTTTGATTTCTTTGGACATTTTCCTGCAAAAGCAGCCGAGTTCAGTGAGATTTCTGAGGTTTATTGAGCACATTGCCCTTCTCAGCCCTGTCTACAGATATGAGATGACATGCAGTGTGCTGTGCAGTTTTAATTGTTTAGGATGATGATTTTACATATATAAATGATCCTTTTCTCATTAGCTTTTCACAGATGACGGGATGTTTGCTTAAAGAATTTTCTCCCCCATAATTGACTCAATTATTTATCTGACAGTGAAATGTTCCCCGTGCCGCCGGCTGCAACACAAGCCCAAAGCATGATCGATCCATGCTGAGGCGTAGCAGACGGAGGGGATGCTGTGTTCATCAAATCTAAACATTTTATTCCTCAGCTATATCTCCACTCATTGCAGCTAAATATCGACTTTCTTTTACAGGACGTGGTTCCAAAATGCTACTTCCAAAGATGTTACATTTCTGAATCTTCAGGTTAAGATGCAGGAAACTTTATCAGCAAGTATTCAATCAAGTCATATTTCTGCTGATGAAGCTGCTCAGTAAAATAATCGAGTCTGCAAAATGTTCCTGAAGGTTTTTAATCAGAGAAATAAGGGCTTCAGGTTTGGCTATGGACTTCAATACATATTGTTGTTATGATAAAGGGTGGTTGGTTATTAATTAAAGTTACGAACATGTACCATGTACTAAACCTCTGTACAGAATATCTATCTAATAGATCAACTATCTCTCACCTAATGTATCCTCTGTAATCTCCAACCTTGGAGTAAAAATGGACCAGGCTCTGAAGATGGATGCCCAGGTCAATAGCACAGTTAAATCAAGTTTTTACCAACTAAGACGCATCTCGAAACTAAAGCACATCCAGAGTGTCCGTCTTCTGAAATCGGTGGTCCACACTTTTATCACTTCAAGGCTGGATTACTCCAACTCCTGCTTATACGGCATCACTAAAGCAGCTCTTTCTAGACTTCAGCTGGTCCAGAATTCAGCAGCTAGGTTGCTGACTGGAGCTGACAGAAGACAACACATTTCTCCAATTCTGAAATCTCTCCACTGGTTGCCCGTGCAGTTCAGGATAAACTTCAAAATTATGCTTCTCACTTACAAATCCTTGAACCATCAAGCTCCTCCATATCTGTGTGAACTTGTCCATTTCTACAACCCGCCGCGTGCTCTCAGGTCTGAAGATAAGCTCCTCCTAGCTGTTCCGAATGCACGTTTAAAAAGCCGTGGAGAAAGGGCTTTCTCTGTCTGTGCACCGAAGCTGTGGAACGCATTACCACTGCTAGTGAGGCAAGCACCAACAGCTAGCATTTTTAAATCACGCCTGAAAACTCACTACTTCAACCTAGCTTATACCACATAATTATGAACCTCACTTACATCTGCACTGTTTAAAAATGGACTCCACAATTATCGACTTCCGTACTATTGAGGTTCTTTTTAAAATGTTTTTTTCTAATTTTTATTCACCCTGTGTCTTACTGATTTTTAGCTGTTAGTTTTGGGAATTTTGTTGTATTTCTTTTTTATCTTTTATCTGTGTTCGACATGACTGTATAACGCCGGTTTAATTAACTAACATTTTTAGTGTACAGCGCCTTGTTTGGTTGTAATGCCTTGTGAATGTGCTTTATAAATAAAAATTGGATTGGATTGGATTGGAATATGTCCTGATTAATTATTGAGGTAGCATGATGGGGCATTGGGTGGAGAATGGGGGTGCATGTTGGTGGTTAGGTTTATCTGTGTTTCCACTAGTTCTGGGAAATGTCTGGGAGAGGGAAAGTGACAGGGGAAATACAATGGGTTGGTCCTCGCAGCTGTTCAGCTCCATATAAAATCATGTCTTTCAGGACTTTACTAAAGATGTGATCGTTTCAGCAGTGGGCGGCATCGCTGACCTGCGCCGAAAGGCGTCCTCGGACATTAATAAAATTAAAGGTTTAATTCTGTCAAAGACGCCATCATTTAGTGCATTCGGGAGACCCGAGGAGGTGCTGTGTGATGTAAAAAGTGGCATTCAATGACCAGAAGAAGCGTAGTTTTTTACAGCACTCTGTAGGAGACCACATATCAGTCCAAGTTATGAAGTTGTGGGGGGATTTCTGCAGCATTTGTTGGGGTTGAGAGTTTAGAAACAGCTATTTTAAAGCAGCATCAATGCTGCTTATTTTCTTTCCCTTCTATTCTACTTCAACATTAACTCGTCCAATTTTACAAAGGACAGTTGTTTGGCGACATCCACCGATGTAATTTCCTACTGAGTTACAACCAATCAGAATGAGTTAACCACAAATCTGGCCCAACAACTCTATTGGCCTTTTTGCTGAGTATAAACCCCAGTTCAGGTTTTAAGTTGGTCCCTGAAATGGCCAGGAATACGGTCCTTTCAGACCGGCCCAGTGAAATGGAGAAAATTGCATTCTGGTAAAATTACCAAGGTTCCAAAAGTGGAAACAGGCCTAATGACACGGGGTCCATGTACACAAATATAGTTTCATGGTCTTCAAGACTCTAAAGCAGGACTGACCATGCTGGCCAGATGGGTACATCCTCATTGTCAGGTTGGCATTGTATGGTGTTACCCTGGACTTGGTATGACTACATGGTAGGATAGTCGTGGTAACATGTGACTGGTTTTACTGACTGGTGAATGCACAAGAGAGAATCTCAGAGGCAGAATATAGCAGTAAACAATTGGTACATGCTTGGACCATAACATCATGATCACGTTCACACTGAAGGGTTTCCAGAATTTCCTGCAATCCAGACGCTTTCTAATAGATTGAGGAGAATGTATGAAGCATACTCTTGTAAATATTCCACAGATGCCTGGTTTGACACTTCCTGACTTATTAGCCAGCTGAATCATTTCTGAGTCACAGTGACGTTACTGTTCTTCATGGCATTTGTACACTGTCGCTGCAGGACCTGCTGAGGATAACGATAAACAACGTCCACAGGATTATTTAGGCAAGACACAACAGCCGAAAAAGGACATATTTTTAATTGTATGTGTCTGCATGCATTGATAAATATGAAGGTAAATGAACAAGTGTCTGCCTTGGGTTAATAAATGATACGTGCTAGCTCTTTAGTAGTAGTCTATGTAGTCTTCCGGCTCTTGGAGAGTTCAGAGGCTTTTTTTCTTCCTCTCCTCCCTATCTCCTCCCAAGGCTCTTTGTCTGTCTTTGGGTGTACGGCGCTTCTGCATTTTTTCTGGAAACTGGAAATTATTAAAATGGACCTGGTCAGTTGGTCTATCAACACGACTGACAAAATTTTTTCAACAATGAGAACGGGAGAAGGGGCTCCCGGTTGCCAGCTGGGCATATCATGGACTCCTGGAAACAGTGGAACCTGATCTCCTCTCTTAACTGTCTGTAGAGGATTCTGAAGACGTCTGGATATTCGTGGTGTTGGTGTCAGGTTTCGTGCTGTTTGGCCTGAGCGGTTACCTGGCTTACTGGAAAATTAATGAGCTGTTGAGGAATACTGGCTCAATCCCGGAGTTCGGGGATGGATTACACCGCGCTGTGAACGCACAGACTCATATAATAAAGATGAGTCGTAAGCTTGGAACTTTGGCTGAGATTCAGACTCTGGCACAGAAGGTTGATGCCATCAAGGATAGAGTTGACGGATCAGCACGGATTGGGATAGATTAATTTACACCATTATTGGATTCAGAGGGGTTGGAGATCAACAGAACTTTAAGACAGAGAGGAAATTATCTCAGTCTGGCCCAAAACAAGTTTTTATCTGAATCTGGTGCCCTTGACCCTGTGAGGCTGAAGTGATTATTCCCCCTCAGAAGAAATGTGGAATGCTGCCGTCGCCATGGTAACTCCGTCTCCCTATCCCAGTCTGAGCGGGACTACGACCGGTGAAGGCCGTTGAATCATCTCCAGGAGTCACTGTGCTCTCTAACCCAAATACCTCCTTCCCCTGTCCAAACAGAGGTGAAGAGCGCTGCTTATCGTGGCTGCATGCACTGATGTGAGGATAGTCCCCAACCCTACCTCCCCACCTAGTGGACACTTATGTTGTGTAATGTCGGAAGTCTGTTGCATTTCTGTCTGAGGTGTTTTTTGCATAGCAAAGCTGCCCTCCCTGTGGAGGGTAACTCTGAAGTGCCTTTTTTCCCTCCACCTGGCCCAATCCTCATGTAACCCTCTGATCTCTGTTAAGGTAGCGTGACTCAAGTTGCGAATGACCACAGTCGCCAATTCTTGTCATGTTTCTATGCCTATGTATGCATGTCTGACCTCAGAATTGGGTGTACTGAAACTCTAATTTCCCTCTGGGATTAATAAAGTATCTTTGAATTGAATTTGAATTTAGTAGCACAGTGAGGAAGCAGCTGATAACAATGTCAGTATTGCTTCAACACTGTGCTAACTTTGGCTAGTAAACAGCTAGCATGTACGATCATCTAAGAAGCCAAAACAGAAGTTTGTTGACTCACCTTCATAATGAATGTAGGTGGACACAGACTATTGAATCTTAAATATGGCCAGGATTATCTTGTTGACTGTTATCCTTGGCAGGTTCCACAATGATCGCTTAAAAAACGTAATCGAGAACAGAAACAGTACTGCAACCCTGTTAAATCTTCCGTTTGAAGAAGGAAAATATTTTAAACCTTTGTAATGTGTTTATTCTGCTTTATCCAAGATTTAACTGGGAGCAAACCAGAGCCCTGAGCTAACAAAGGTAAGTAAAACTACAAGAGGTCAGCTCTCTTGCGGAGCCAAACTGTAGCACTATGCTCCTCATCAGTAAATGATTTATGATGTAAATTAAAACAAAAAAGACACCAGTATACTATATTTCTATGTTTTCAGCAACATTCAGACTTTAAATTTAAGCTCATCATGTCCGCACTGAGATTTTAATTGAAACAAGATTTTTTTTTATTTGGGGTGCTAACTCTTTAACACTAACGTTACATATGGACATTATAGAATACACCATCTATGGAAATAGGACTGGACAATAATTCAATAACGATATGTATCAATCAATAGATATGTGAGGCAAAAGAAATACACGGATCAATACAAATTTTTCTTTTTCCATTATAGCCTATCTGATAGCTTCATACTAGAGTGATTACTTACACCTAACCAATCAAAAACACAGACCCAAGCACGCTCCGTCACCAAGCCTCCTAAACTTAGACAAGATGTTCCAGCAAGAAGAAGTGGAAGAAATGAAAGGTTAGAAGTTAGGAAAAAAACAACAACGGTGGTTTGCGCAATTTGCAGAAAATCGAAAAAAATAAATGTGGTAATGCAACTAACTTATTTTATCAAAAATTAATGGCACAAAATGGCCAGGGCTGCACTTAAAATATATTTTCTACATTTTTTAATGTAGTTTTCAATAATTATTGATATCGATCAATATGATTTTTTTGATCGATAAGCTTTTTCTATCATCCAGCCCTAGCTGTTTCACTTTTTTCCTGAAAAAACAAGAAGAAAGAATGTTTTTCTGCATAAAGCTGATCTCATACAAAAATCTGCATAAATGATAACAAATAAATCAATGGAACTTTCAATTAGTAGATTCCATCAGTCATTAAATAAACAAACCATGAAGAAACACTGGTTTATCAACATCAATTATTGTGTTCATCTCTGAGTGCAGCTTTGTGTGAAATAACTCATGTTTAACGTTAAATAGTGTAATGCGACATAACAGTGCTGCCCTAAACTAACTGGTTTCTTTACATGCTGATCACATTCTTATGTATTTTAAAGGTTAAGAGCTGCCTTTCTAGCCCTCTTCACAATTAATCTTTTTTGTGCCAGAAAAAACAAACAAACAAACAAGCAGAGCAGCATGGAGTATATAAAAAAGATAAACTGAAATAAAGTAAATAAATAAAGCACATGGCAACTTTTCAATTTGGGTAGGTTGGACAGAAACTCTTGGCTGCCAAGGATAGTGAAGGCACAGTTTCTTTTTTCTAAGCCAAAATGAGGAAAAACACAAGGACAGTGCTGGGAGACAACACCAGGACAGGGTGGAGACAGAATAGCCTGTCACCTTTGTTTCTATTAAAGCTCAACAAGCAGACTAGCAGTGGGCGTGTGGCCCACAGCACACCCCACTAACTTCTGAGGCTGGATAAAGGAGAGATAGAGGAGATCTATTTCAGTCTGTTTGCATTCTAACGCTGCAGGGTGAAATACCCAAACGTCTTTACTGAAGTGCCAATTTTATTACATTCAAACAGAGTTAGGGTCAGGGTGGTGGTGTCTGAGCGTGAAGTCTGTCCACAAGGCAAGGATGCTGGGGTGGACAATCAGCTTGTGGACCCTCAGTGACAAATACTACATGAAGTGTCACTAACATAATAAAATTTTGAGAGGCCAAGCTTCAGGTTCTTCTTCCACCATAATCTATAGAGGACACAGAAATGTGAGAGGCGGGAGAGCCTGACAGTTTTTGTGTGAAATGATTCCTTTAGCAGCTCTCTGCAAAGACCCCTCTGAGAATGTAGATTCAGAAGTGTGAAAAACAGCTAGCAGTAAACAGGAGGCAGCATTCGATAGGTTTGCAAAGACAGACATACACAAACACCGGTACACCTATACAGCTCAGAGGACAACACAAATGCATAATACACAAAATCCCCGAGTGAACGTACAACACACAAGTACAAAAGCTCAAACACACACATGCACACAGCCTAATAAAAGTGTGGCAAAGGCTTAGCAATAAACAGGCTCTGAATTTCATATTCATGAATTCACAAACTCTAAGCCTATCAGCTCCAGCAACAAAGGCAATCCTTGCTTCCCCCTGCTCCCCTTAACTCACTCACCTTCCTGCAGGTACATGACAGCTTGTGAGTAGTTCTGCAGTGCGTGATGTGTTCTCCCCAAGCTGCCATAGGCCAGCGTCTTGGCAGCCAAGTCATTAGTCTGAGCTGCCACGCTCAGGTGCTGTTCTTGAAACACAACCGCTCGTTCATAGTTTCCGAGCGACTCGTAGGTAAGGCCCAGATTGCCGTAAGCTCGGGCCTGGCGCATGGCGCTGCCTGCTTCCTCTGCAATCTCCAGGTCGCTTTGGTGGCATCTCAGTGCAGTCTCGTACTCTCCCATGGCTTGGTACACAGCGCCCAAGCCGCAGCTGGCATCTCCCTCCAGCAGCCTGTCCTGGGTGTCACGGGCGATGGCCAGCTGACGCTCCAGACAGGAAATGGCCTGCTCGTAATTGCCTAATTGGCTGTGGAGAGCACCGAGCTCCCCGTAGGCCTGAGCTTTGCCTCCACACTCTCCCAGCTCATGTGCCACGACGAGCCGCTTTTCGAAGCACACCAGTGACTGCTGTAGGCTCCCCATGGCCCTGGAGAAGAAAACAGAAAGTTGGAGGAGTAAAAATAAACCACTTGTGAAGTAAAATATGCTAAATCAAAGCACCAACAAGATAACAAAGCTTCCATTTGTAATATTCTGTTTCTCTGAATTTCTAGACTAAGACAGCAACACTTCAAACAAATCCCTTCTTTCTTTATTTCCTTACATAATAAATGTTTTATTAGGGAACTGCAGCATGGTACACAATAAAGAGTTCACACAGAAGGGAGAGTTTAATGAACAAAGGCAAGTTAACTTAAAAATATGTTTCTTTTCCAATGCTAGTGCTGATAGCTGTTAAATATAGAGTAAAATATGTGTAAAAGCCTGTGTTTTAAATGTTCTACACAAGATAAAAATGTGTAATTTAGAATTGTTTGCTAACCCCTGCTATGATACGAGGGATCCCTTGTTCCATTTGAACATTTTATTCACCTTCACAGACTTCAAACAGACTTTTCTCACATTCTTAGACACACTGTCAGTTGCTGTAGACTGGTTCAAATGGAGCATTACAAGAATAAAAGCCTTCAGCCTAATTAATGTGGCGTGATAATGCATTTGCTTGACTAAGAAGTGCAGGAAGATGAGAGGCGTTCGTGTTTGATGTCTATTATTCCCTTCTGAACTTGTGCATGGCAAATACAGCTGTGTGTGATTACTGTGGTGCCGTGCTCACGGTGCACAATAAGAAGAAAATCGTCTCTGAAATGAGCATTTCAGCAAGCTGTTTGGGTTTTATTTAGCTGTGCAGTCTCCCAGGTTTCAATTGGTTCCTTAAGACGTGGGGAAGAATAGATGTAAAAGAGAAAAGCTGCAAGAAGTTGTCCTGAAATAACAATGCCCCCCCCCCCCCCCCCCCCCCCCCCCACACACACACACACACACACAAACCCCCGCCTCAGACTTCTGTGCACCAAACTGCTTTTGCATATATTTAAGGTCAAGGCCACCAGACTGCTGCTGACACAGCTAGCACCAGATTCACATGCCATCAGGAACGTTTCTCTAACTATGAGGGTCTTGATAGTGAGTACAAGAAGAAATAATTTACATGCAATCTGCTGTGAGTGTTGGTAAAACTAACATCAATATACATGTAATTAGCTGGGCGGCTGCGGGTGAGCCTGGTTGCTTGCCGTTATGCTCACATTGTGCTGTCACAAGTTTGCCCGCCAGCAGTGTAAGCCTATAGCAGCATAACTACAGAGATAACTCAGTCTGGATAACCAAGCCCAGCAGTACTCAGCCCCCCCCCCCCCCCCCCCCCCATTTGTAAATTAACAAAATGTTACAAAAATATTTGTTGAGATTTTTTTCATTCACACCTAAAGATGAATGAAAAAAATGGTTTAAAAAATCATGGTTGAAGATTTCATAATTCATGCATCAAATGGTTAAAACAACCAAATTAATTTCTAATATAGTTCTGACAAAAACTGTTGTGGATTTAAAATCAAAATCAGGGCTCACCTGTGCCCACTGCCCAAGCCTCTGTAGGCCTTCTCTTGGTCCTGCATGCGGTTTAGACTTTGTGCCACTGATAAATATTGGTCATAGTACTTGATGGCTTCCTCAAAGTCTCCCAGAGCCTCATAACAGTCTCCCAAGTTTCCGTACGCCCTGCCCCGATCCATTACTGCTTCATTTCCACTCAGCTGCTGCAATGTAGCCAGCTGCTGCTCCAGGTAGCCAATCGCTTCCTCCATCACTCCAACATTCATTTTTGTGATGCCCATGTTTCCATAAACTTGAGCCTCCACCACTGGATCCTTTAATCTCTGACCTAGCTCCAACTGCTCCTCGTAGCTCTTGAAGGCCATGGCATACTTTCCAAGGGCCATATAGACAGCTGCCAAATGGCCATGGGCTTTGCACTCCCCTGACACATCACCAAGCTCCTGGTATACCTCCAGCTCCTGGGTGTGGTAGCCAAGGGCTTTGTCATACTTCTGCACAAGTCTGTAGGTGGCACCGAGAGCAGCGTAGGCACAGGCCTCCATCCTACGCTCCTTAACCTGAAATGAGAACAACAAGGAGATGAAAGTTATGCATTTAAAGCGTTTTGTTTTTATTATAAATCATGTAATAATTAGACTCACCTGGTGAGCTAAAGCCAGTTGCTGCTCATAAAACTGAATGGCTCCAGCCACATCCTTTTTACAAACAAATATGTCTCCTAAGTTCCCTAAGGCTCTGAATCTAGCCTGTGCATTGTTCAGGGACTGGGCCAGTGACAGCAAATACTTTTGACACTCCTCTGCCTTCGCAAAGTCTCCTAGGGCCTTGAAAGCCAAACCGAGGTTACAGTATGCCTTGGCCTGACTCAGTTTGTCATGGAGATCCTTGGCCAGAGCCAAGTCCTGCTCATAATACTTGACAGCATCCTGGTAGTTGCCCAGGCAGTAGTGGGCATAACCTAGATTGTGACAAACTTTTCCTTCACTCTCCATGTCTTGAAGTTCAGGGGACAGTCTGAGGTACTGCTCATAGTAGGGCACAGCTTGAGGGAACTCTCCTCGAGAGCAATGGAAGTTGCCCAGGTTGCCCAGAGCTCGAGCTTCACTCTGTACATCTCTGAGCTCCCGAGCTATGTTGAGGTGGTTCTGGTAATGCTGTAGAGCTCGGTCATGGGCACCGAGGGCTTGGTAAGCTACAGCCAGGTTACCATGGGTGGAGGCCTGAGAGGCTCGGTCATTGACCTCCATGGAAATCTGCAGCTCCTGCCGATGGTAGCGAACAGCTTGGTCAAAGGCTCCAAGGGCATTGTATGCATTACCCATGTTTCCATAAGCTCGGCCCTGAGCAGCATAGTCGTTTAGCTCCTGAGCAATGGCCAGGTGTGTTTTGTGGAGTTTCAGTGCAGTCTCATAGTCACCCTTCATCTGGTGGATAATGCCTATGGAAGCAGAGGGAGAGAGAGAGAGAGAGAAATAGAATGAAGTTAAAGACCCACTCCAGGGAAAATTGGAACAGAGTAAAATTCAAGAGCCTCGTCAGCTCTTCGTCTTAAAACAAGTCATTTGGTTGCTGAGCCATCTGTTCTCTGCTTACACAACACACTCGCCCACAGAATTATGGTCATTAAAATGTAGTGCAATCAAACAGAGTTACTACAACATCAAAATTGACTCTCTTGATTGTTTAAACAGTCTTTGATCACTGTGTCTTCGAGGGATTTTACCAAAGTCAACAACTTTTCCACATGGGTGGAAACACGTAAGAGCGAAAATCAGAGTAGGTGAAAATAGGGGAGAGAGGGAAAGAGAGGACAGAGAATGGAAACATCAGTAAAAAAAAAAAAAAACTTTTGGGGGAAAAAATAGATGAATGTGGAGAAGCTATAAATAATGAAGAAACCAGTAAATTGAGCCTCTTATGACAAACAAAATACCATATTTAGAAAACTAACGGCTTTACTCGACTGCACCCATTTATTCCCCTTACTATCCAAATGAATGTGCATGCACACCTGTATAATAATGCAGACTGACAACGGCAACAGAGTAAAGGTACATTACAGAGCTCTTCATCATTCTGAGACCTCTCCCCAACCGTTACTCTGCCTTCAAAACTACCGCTGGCACCAGTAATATCGAAGTTTACCAAGAGGCTAGACAGCACGACTGCTGGTGGAGAAAACATCTCTGACTGGTCATCATGGTGTCGCTACGTCAGCAATGACTAATGGCTCGGTGGGATGTGGGAAACAGCCACCAATGGGACATGAGAGTAGGGAACCGTTCTGGAGCCAGAGTGGGAAAGAACCGGCGATGGAGAGGAGCTCTGTGGCTTGTGGTAAGTGTGATGGTGGCATTGGGATAAGCTATTGCCATGTGTGTTTTCCTACTTATTCCAACCGAAACCTGCCACATTACGGGGCTGAATACTGGGTACGTCAACATTAGAAACAGCCAATGCATTCCCACGCTGGATACAGAAAACTTTAAAAGGGATACAGTCTGATTCATTTGGCTGCATACTAGCTATGTGTAAGTGATGTATGGTCATACAAACATCCAGTGCATACAAGAGAAACCTTGTTGACCCATATGCATGAAGTTTGCATCATCAGTCTTTTAGTCAGGCGTACAGAAAAGGTTTAATTAAAACATGCCTCAAATGAACATCTTGGTTGGGGGAACTATAATCAAAGCCTCTACCTGCTTAATCAAGGCGATTATTCAGCATGTAGCAGACATGCTGACAAATCATTCTCAATCGGCTGTTTCTTTGCCTGCTTGCATTCTCAGATTAGAAGTAATGCAACCTGACGTGACACAGGTCACGGCACCGAAGAATTAACATGCTGGAAGTATCACAGTGTAGCACGCAGAGAGAAGCCAAATGATCAAAGAGACGTTTTGTGAGCAATCGACATAATAAAGACCTTAACAATGTGTCAGATCTGTGTTTTGTAGCCTGTGCTCAGTACAAACACAGTAACAGGAGTCATTGTGGTTATCCTGAAGGTGTCAGCTGGACGGGGCACTTCCTACATCGTGGACACACTCACTAGCTTTGCCCATCTTTGGAGTCTGGAGGCATGTTAAGATTCACGGCAGGCTGTGTGAAGGAGCACTGACAGCCACAAAGTCACTCCCAAGGTTATGCTTTCCCCAATGGATGCTGATGTTGCTGGGGACATAATGCCTACTGATGTATTACCAGCAAACATGTATCATGCTGCAGGCTAAAAATGGACCTGGAGCTTGGTGATGGACACAGGGGTACATGGAGATGGTCTGAAGGCTGGAGGAAGCATGGTCGGGTTTCCGGTTGGGGCTCGCAAGTTGCTGCCAAAAAATGCCATAAGCCTTAGGCAATGCCTGGAGCCACACTTGAAGCAAAAAACATTTTCTATGGCCCCCATATGGTAAGAGGATTATAGAGCCCTGTGGGAACAGTATTCTGCAGAGCAGTAAATAAAACCATTCCAAACATGACAGTAAATGCTGCTGCAGTACAAAACCAGGGACTAGACCAGGTGATGATGGTGCGGGTGGGAATCAATCTAATGAGGACATAATTGCAATTATCTCCAAATTAATCTATAATTGGAGCTGATAGCTGACCTTATTTAATGTATTGAATGTATTGTGACAATAATTAATAAATTACACAACTTAATTACAGTTAAAAACTACATAGAAAGAATCAAAATGCACAAAGAACTTGTTCAAAACTCGTTTAGGCGGATATTTACCCATGACCAAGGATGTTAAACATAAGAATATATGTTGTCATTTTTATTACACAGCTAGCTTTCATGACTAGGGCTGCAACAAACGATTATTTGGATAATCGATGAATCGGATGGGTTCTCGACACGATTAATCGGATTACATGGGGAAATTTTTAAAAACTGCTAGGGAAACGTTATTTCTCTCCTTCCTTCACTTTATTTAACACAACATTATTAGAAAACAGTTCAATAGCAGAAAAACAACATGCCATCACCTAAATTGTCTTATAAGGTGTTTAGACAGCGACCTTAAGCTACACCTATCTGTGACCTAAAATGCTTGGTCCAATTAAACAGCTTAAGGGCAATTCTCATCCGTTTTGTTTGATCTCATCTGTTGACATTTATTATAACTGGGGATGTCAAACAACTAATTTTTAAATGTAATTAAACATAGGCTGTGAATTAATCAAAATTGATCACTATTTCCAAAAATGACTGAAAAAATAAGTTGTCACACACTCCATGGAAACTTTCAGAGAATCCACAAATAGTGGCTTTCAAATGGTTTTGTTACTTTTTGCAAGTTTAGAAAAGAAGCAGATGAGACAGCATGTCTGATAATTTAGTTTTTCATCTGATAATATTAGAACATGTCAGTAATGCCTGAGGGGCTTTTATAAACACTGTATAACTAACACTACTGGAGAGGGTATGAATTACACAGAGGCTTCTGGGGACTGGGGAGCCCAGTTATGGGAGGGGGGGGGGGGGGGGGGGGGCATTTTGCCTGGCCCCCAGAATGTCTTGAAACGACCCTGGGTGTGTGACTGAGTGTTGAAGGTGACCTGAATAGTATCAAATTTATAAATATTACATGTGTGTAACTTATTGTTTTATAGGTAAAAACGTGTAGTGGAGATAAATCTATCTACATTGTACTTTTCAACACTTTGTTTTGTTTTGTTGTTTTTATTTAACTATTTTCCTGTCCTGTCTGTCTCTCATCTTCCTGCATCTCCTCTTAATTCTCCAGAAAAACTGCTGCCTGGATTCTTACTTTTTCACCTCATCAGTTACTTCTGAGCAGATCTAAGGGATCTCCTGACCGCAAAGCGCAGAGCGCGTTTTCGATGCTGCGTGAGGTGAAATCACCGCAGCACAGGTGATGAGCTCCGCAGTAGCAGAGCGCTGCAGGCACAAATAAGACAGAAAATAGAGAACATGTGCAGACATGAACGATCGTGTGCTAATTATAGTTTTTTGGTTGCGCCACTTTGAGAATGGACCGTGCGCTGGAAGCAGCTGCCTGGATCGCTGCGCAACAACGCAGCGCTGTGCCGCTCTCTGCTAAAAAAGTCCAAAAATGATATAATATAGAAAGCTTTTTTCCGGCTCCCCGGATGTGTAGGATATACAGCTCCCCCATAATTCGATCCCTGCTCCTGGATGAAAAGCCGGACATTTTCATCAAGAACCCGCAGTCCGGACGCGCCGGACAGAGAGTGAAAAGTGGACACGTCCGGGGAAAACGGAACGTACGGTCACCATAGTCCTCATAAAGCGGGAAATTATAGATACAGTATTTTGCTCGTGCCCTGGGCCCTTTAGAGTTCGTGGGCCCTGGGCAATTGCCCAGTTAATCCGGCCTTGGGCGGAACCGGTTCGCAGCAGCGCGAGTCCCCCCGCTCATCTAATAAGCATCACGCTCACGACTTTAGACTCTTTTTTTACGAGTTTAGGGCATGTCTAGCCTGTGTAATAATCCGGGATTTGGATGAATAACTTTTGAAAAGTTTTTAATTTACCCGGACACAGAGTTCTCTCCTTCCTCGCTGATGATCCCGACATGCTTGCGTTTAAGACGCTGCATCATCCTGTGCCATGCTAAGTCTGACCTAAACGTTGCAGGTAACGCATGTCTTCGCCTGATTTAACTGAAAATGCTCCCAAACTTAAAAAGCTTTTACTTTTTTGACTCTCGCTGCTTCTGCCATGTTCCTCTTCCAAATAACTGCCGGCTCTCCCTCGCGCTGATCTGTCTGCGCGCAACGGCGGGCGGGAAGGGGGGGCGCTTTTGGAAGAGTTGTGCAACACAACGAATCGATGACGCAATTCGTTGCCAACGCTTTTAGTAATTGATTTTCATCGAATTTATCGATTCGTTGTTGCAGCCCTATTCATGACTTTAAGATCTGGTGCCATATTTTGAGTAAATCACTCCAAAACACTCCTGCCAACAATTTTCAAAGGGTTTTTATCTACACCGGTGCTGCTGAAACACGACCAGCCTGGAAGGACAGAAAGAACCCTCATTTAGCATTAGGACATGCAGTTTTAATTTACACTGGTGCTGGAGAACATACATGGTTCAGTGGAAATGTCGGTGCTTTTTTGACTTTTAACTCCGGGAGGCTGATGTTAATAAAATATTCAAAAAGTAGATTATTAAAATAGGAAAGTCTTTGAAAGAAATCCCACTGAGGCCAAATGGAAATCACACACCACCCTATCATACATAGTGTAAATACTTTAGATACTTTAATCATCTTTTAAAATCCTGCAAAATAAATTAGTGATTAACAGGAAAACCCAAGTGTCTGACTGACACAAAATGAAGATATTTTTTATCAATAATACTACAAACAAAGATCTGTAGTAAAAAACGTCAAGCAACACACTCTGCCTTTTTTCCAGCTAGCTGCACTGATTCT